CACTAGGAGGTTAAAAAAAAATTCCATCTCATTCTGAATAGGTTTAACCTGGATTTCAGCCCACAGTTGTTGCCTGTGGGTCTGGACACAGTAACTCCCTACACACACACACACACACACACACACACACACACACACCGTCCCTAGGACACAAGAGCCATCAAGGCTCTTGCCATGTGCAGACAAAGAAGCCCTAGACTAACAACAAAATTACTGGGGCCCTGGAATCCTGAGACTACACTGAGCCCCTTCTTAGTGGTGGGTGGGGAGCAGAGGATTTAGGGTAAGGAATGTACATTTTTTAAAAAACTTTGGCAAATAAGTATACAAATGACTATTTCTTGTCACTTTTATAAGGAAATATAATTCTACCTCTTGAATAGATATTCTCCTATCTTATTTGACTTCCCTCTCAAACATTTAAATGGAGGACAGACATAAAATAGAGGTGGACAAAAACCTCCTACCTGTAGTAATAGATAATTTATTATTTTTCACCTCTATTTAAAAAGCATATAAAATGTGTAGTCTATCACTGACATCCCCAAGATACTGCTTGTAATAGAGGTTTGGGAGCAACATGACTAATTTTTTTTAAAGTCAGGCCTATATATATGTAATTCCTTTACAATAAACTATGTATCAGACCCCTGACAAATATTAGCTAAAGCAAATTTCATTGCTTCTCTCAACCTTAATATATTCATAGAGATATTAAATCAGTATAGTAGTAAGCCAAGAAGTATGGGGCCCAATAATTCACAGAGCTGATTTTTTTCCTAAAATGCTGTAGCTGTATGTCAACTTTTTTCTTATAAATTCTTGGTTTAAAAAACAGAGATTCAAGGATAAACAAAGCTATAAAACACTATTACAAGAACTCACAATCTCATTTGAAGAAACACATTTTCTTTAGCCTACAATGAGTTTGCCAGTTGTAGCACGATTGTTCAATTCCAAAGGGTAATGAAGGGCGTTTAAGGACCAGACACAAGACCCAAATTTAGAGTCCAATTCATGACATGAAGGGGTAAATTACTGTTTATGGTGTTAGGATAAAAGAAATTTTAAATGCTATTTTTAGACATATCTTCATAATCTTAGTTGATATTTTGAGGCGAACAGGAAAATTAAGGAAATACATTTTGAAATAAAAATACAGGAGTCTGGTTATGCAGTTCTTTCAGATTACAGAAAGAAACCCTCATAGATCTACAGGAATAGATTATTGACTTACTCAAACTTCCACCACGAAGTAGTAAAGTTACCTTGTGAGTCTGGAGGACTCTTAAGAGTTATGAATTACTGTAGAAACATTTAACTCTTAAATTACGCTGCCACAGCCCTACCTTCACATTGTTTGGTTGGTTTGGCGGATGGGTGGACAAAACAAGAGAAGGTAGGTGCCCTGTATCTCCTTAAAGAGATACAATTTATGAATAGTACTCTAATTATGATATAATATAGAATGGTCTGCCACGTCTGCTCTAATGGGCGACAGCCCCTGTAATACCTAAACTTGGATGGATGTGGGGAAGCATCAACAAGCAGTTAATAAAGTGCCCACTGTGCACCTAGAACTAGGCTTGTTGCTATGGGGAAACAGAAAAGTCTGGAGACACATATGGATCCTGTCTCCAAAAGCATAAAGTACGGTTTAAAATTCCTTATTATTTCTTATTAAAAAATATAAATTCTAAATATTATGTTGGTATTATCTCAGAATCCTTTCTTTGGTCTGTATTCTTTCCAAGAAAGGCAGTTTAATTGGGGCTTTTACAGCTGGCAGATACTGCTGCTAATATACTCAAAAACTAAACTCCAGCAATATAGTGATTGGTAGCTACTGAAACTGTTTCTGCAAATCACAAGCTACTTGGGGAAAAGGCATTACATAAAGGCTAACTCATAACAGGTAAGTGAAGAAAACAGCTTTAAATGTTCAGGTCCTATTTGGTGACATTTTGTCAAAGTTTAGATTCCCTAAACTAAGCCTTATTAAGTTTACTACCAACTTATATATCTTACTAAACTTAATTTTGAGGATATTACCAAGTGCTGCCAAATCATTTCTGAGAACATAATTACAACTCTTTCTTTTATAGAAATTTACAGAAAGCCACAATCAGTTAAATTTACAGGGGCTCTATCAATGAACGGCTTGACTGCAGACCACCCCTCCGAGGTACAGCCTTTTAACACACACTACCCCTCCCAAGTGTAACCCCCAGCGAGAAGGGTGAACTCAGGAAGAACATCTCCACCATGAGACTCTAGGTTGTGCAAATGGAAAGATTTTGACAAGACCTCACATCTAGGCCTTAGGAACTTACAAATTTCATGTTGCCATTAACTAAAGGAAAATGATACCTTTATCAAGCAAGTGTTTACTCAGAAAGACTTCATTTTACATGTTTGTAGAAACATATACTAAGAGGTGGGAGTAAATATGTTTGTAATTTCTAAGAGCAAATGGCTTTTATTCTGAATTGGTCACTTTGCCCACACCACACAGGCTATGATTTAAACAAACACACCATACAACACAGACAGTCACAGCATTTTTAGCCCTCCATCAATATCCAACCTGTACAAAATGGGCAGAGGGGTCGAATCTTGAACAGATACTACAAGTCTATATAGCTCTGAAGTAGGGAAGTCCTGTGTCTTACTAAGACACAAAATGTTTAAGGAAATTGCTAACTTGATAGGTTAATATTCTCTGAAACAGTTTCTTAGGCAATTCTATTGTGTCTTCAATGTATATTATCTGAAACTTCATAGAACTGGTGAACCACACAAACCAGAGCATATTATTTTTGCATTTGTATAACTTAATGCACCCTAGTGGGTTATTTTATAATGGCCAAGCTTGCAGAAGTTGTAAAGCAACTTTATATTTACAAATACCTTAAAATAATAATTTATTCACTCATATCAAATCTGTGAGCACTCAAAATTATACCCATTTCACAGATAACGGGCTAGACATGAGACAAAAGGCCTATAAATAAATTCAGAGCAAGAATATGAATTCATTGTCTTTAAACCTCCAGTCCTCGTAAATTCTCCTTTCTTCCATCTTTTCTAATTAATTCAGCAAAGTGACATATTTGAACAAATCTCTTTCAAGATTTCCTCACTAATCAACCATCAATTCTTAAGACAAGGACTAACAAAGAAAACTACGTGAAGTTCCACAGCAAGTTAACAGAAATAGAAACCTCAGCAACATCATTTCATAATTAGGCTGCTTTGGTTGCAACCTTATTCTGGGGTTTGGTGCACACAGCTGTGTAAAGACAGAGATTTCAGACAGAAACAGACCTAATGCTGAGAGAGGCAAGAGTTGGAAATCACTCCAACATATGGTTCATTTTCAAGGTTCAAAATGAGGTCCTAACTGGCAAGTGCCAGAGATAGGAATTTTAAACGAAAACTAAGCAAGATATGGGAAAGTAGTTGCTCAAATTATGATCATCTGATTGTACCACTTCAATGCCCTGTGGTATATCCCACTTTATTTAACATCAGAATGAACAGGTGGTAAGACTTCTGTCACAAACCAGTATGAACAGATAAACTGTATATCAATTAGTCTAATCCAGATTCTTAAGATACACTTCTTTCTGCTATCTATAATGTATGGCTCCCAAAAATAGAGATATCATGTACTTTTTAGTGTACTGGTGTAAATTAAATTATATGGTTTATAAAAACACCAATTCCCTTTAAAAAGGAGCTTATTTACTGGGGGAAATGGCTACTTTTTAAATTTTGGTGAGAAAGTAGGAAAAAAAAGAGTATTAAAATAATCCAGGCAGACAGGATATAATAGAATATTCCCTAAACTAAAGATATCTCAAGTTAAAAAGCATCACAAATAAAATCCTTATTTTAAACATAAATAAAACATTTTCATATAAATATATTGTTAAATTTGAAAGTAAGCCCACATTTTGTTGTAAAATAGATTCTGTAACAGGGACTCAATAATTCTGAGTAAATGAACATCATAATTTGCATTAATGTTTTTGAATGTGACTTTTAAATTAGTTTTTCTCTTTCTTAGTAAAAATCATCCTCTATTAAGAATTTGGATTCTATTTTGATCTCTAACAAGTCAAATTACCATTTTTTATGATATTTAAAATATCATAAAAACAGCATTATTTACTTAACAGTAGTTATAAAATACAAGAGTGAAATATTTGCTAAACATTTCAATTTAGTTACTAAAATTCAGATATTTTTCTGATAAAAAAACATTGCATGTAATTTTTTCTATCAGTTTTATCCACTTTATTGACTTTTTAATTATCAATAAAGTTCACTTGGAGAGTAACTCAGAAAATAATTTCTGTGGTGGTTTTGAACTGAATTTTTTAACCCCAAAATGTTATCCAGAGCCTTTTTGGGCAACAATGGAATCTAGGTATAAACAGAAATTCACAGTCCCTTGAACAACTAACTGTACTTTCACCTATAATGCAATGAACTTCTTAGGCAGGCAAAGTCCTTGTTCACATAACTGCAACCCCATTTCAGCATGGAATCAGGAGCAAAAAAAAAAAAAAGTGTATGTATTAACATTAAACCATTTGTTGAATGTTAGGTTCCCACAGAAATATTTGCTGTGTATTTTTAAAATCACTTCTCAAGGTTAGTTCTTCATCTAAGGACTATTATTGTACTTTGATTATCTTTCATAATGAGATGCTTCATTTCAAGTTACTTGTTGGAGTTGCTACCAGTGAACACTGTCATATATACCTCCAGTTCAAGATACATCAGTGTAATACTTAGTTTCAGTTATAAATAATATATATATAAAACAAACAGGGCTGCCATTATTTGTATACTGCAACAAATACACAAGAATGAATACAAATTATTTTTCATAAAAATACAATTTCTAGTCAGTTTAGGAGATTTCCAAACTATGAGGATATTAAATACTTAAAACACCAGACAGTCTCTGTTATAGAATGCCAGTCAGGTAAGATATGAAAAAGATTCTTTATTGGTAGCCATATACAGCTGACTATACCATCTCTGTGTTTTCTTGCTATTTAAGAAAAAATATAGAACCTGGACATTTAAAACATTATTAATGCAATAATCACTAAATTTTCATAAATTTATTTAAATCACTTATTTTGTTAAAAACTGCCAAAGTCATGATGAATACAATTATTGCAGCTACATCATTTGAAAAAGTAATATAAATTATGCTGCTGAAGACAAAAAACATTAAAACACATAAACATCACAATATAACAAGGCAGTAACTTATAACTAATGTGAAAAATTAAATTTAAAAAGTTGTATTAGAGAAACTGGGTATATTTCACTTTAGTAAAACAATCTATACATCTCCAACTTCTATGATAACAGTATACAATAAAATATTTTAATGACATTCAAATGCTTCCTTTACACAAATAATATTGTCAATACTAACAAAAGTGATGCCCTTAACCATGAACTGCTCTAATTGTGGTTTAAAAATGTTTTCTTTACTTCATTTTACATTTCAGTTAGCAGTGAGCATTACATATTAATCAGTTCTGTGTGGACAAATAGGATCCTAGTCAAAATACTGTTTTTCAAAAGTAATGTACATCATATTGCTTGAAACTAACAACCATATAAAAGTGGTAATCATTTATCTAAACATTAATTATGAAAGACAATCAGCATATATTCAGGCAGAGTGTTGAGTTCATGATGGTTTATTTACAATAAAAGTACTTTTACTGATGCTAACATGATATATAGGTTTCTATGTCAATTACTACAGTTTCTCAAAGTTATAAAAATATTATATAAAATACTACAGGCTTCAGATGATATAATTTCATGTGGTTCTGACACTAGCAGCTGAAAAGTGTTTATAATTTAAAAATAAATAAACTATAGAGGTAAACCAGTTACAAAACAGCAGAGGACTGCAACAGTCACAAGAGTGAAAAGAATTGCTTAGTTACACAATAGCTAACAAAACGGTGAAGCAGTTGGATCAAACGTTTTAAAAACCTCTTTCAGAGATTTATCATCAGTTTCTCTACTGGGATCATTATCTGGATTGGGGCTCACCTGTCCCGGCTGCCGTGGCTGCCTTGGATCGCTGTACTGGGGTCTAATTAAGCCTGTTAATGCCTGGATAGGGAGGCTGTGCACTGCTGGGGCCTGAGCCATGCCGGAACTCCTGAGGCTATCTCCCTGTGGGTCAGCTGGCCCATCAGCAGTCTCTTCCACATTTGCAGTGGTTTTCTGTTGCAGGATTGCTTTTCCAGGAGAAGGCTCATTTATGTCACTACTTTTTAAACCATCACTGTTTTTCTGGTTCTCTGCATTCTCTGTTGCTAGCTCTGATGTAGACACTGACCCATGCTCCCTGGGGTCATACAAACTAATACCACTAAGAACTGAACTTGGAGTTCCCAGTAAAAGGCCAGCTGAAGATGAGAGTTTCGGAGCATATGGAGGCAATGCCCCAGGACCAGAATTGCCAGTTATGGCCCCTGAGGGCTGTGAGGGCCTGGGATTTGATCTGGCTAACTGAGGGGCACCCTTTGATGTATGTGAATCCTTCATAACCGTCGCTTGATGAGACTCTGTATTGTGCAGTCTGTGAAGTCTAGGATCAAAATTTTTCTGGAGCCTCGGGTCTCCTAATTTACTTCCTGAACTATGTAAATCTCCAAATTGTTCAACATGGCCTTCCCTGTTTGTGTTCATTTTGGCTTTCACTGCTAATTTTGACTCAAGGGGCACTGTGTTTTGATGAAGGTCGCTTTTTGTATTCAATAACCTATTGAGTCTCTGGTCAGCTATAAGAGGGGGCAGAGGTAAATTGATTGAAGATACTGGGTCAGGTTTAGGTAAAGGGACTGGAAGTAAGTCTTCTGGAGCCCACACGATATGTTTTGCAAAGTTGGGTTTGGTTAGGATAATATCCATTTTAATGTGACTGAATTGTCTCAGTTGTGACCTTGGATCTTGGAGTACTACACCAGGGGAAGAATCCAAAGGTATTAAGAAAGCTTTTTCTCTCAGTTCTCTTTCTGCATCTTCATCATCGTCATCTCCTCTTTTGTGTTTGACATTAGTGCCAGCACTTGCATGAAGTAAATCAGACTTCGCTCCCCCAGAAGAGCTAACATGACCACTTCCATTCCCTCTCAATTTCCTGGGATCCCACGCAAGTCTACGGTCCAGTGGGGCAGACTCAGAAGACTTCCTAATGTCTTGCCTTTGGATAGTCCTAAGTCTAGGGTCAACAATTTGGTTCCCTTTATTTTTCTCTTTAGCAAGTCTTGGATCAGTGGGAGTGCTGAGCTCTGTAGAAGGCTGTTGCTGATTCCTTAAAGTTTCTGTTTGTTTCTGTAATGTTCTCAGTATTGACTTGACACTGCTTCCTTCTTCCTCTTCACTACTGGAATACCAGTTAACAGTATCATCTAAATGCAGACAAAAACTTACTGTAAAGAATGAAGCATTCATGTTTGGTTTTAAGTAAGGTAAGAACACCACATGCTATTTCTGAAATAAGTGTAGTGTAACCAAGAAAATGCCTCATGAAAAAGCCAGAATTTCAACACTGGAACAAGATAAGATGTGGGATGACAATTACCAATTCAGTTACTATACTCTGTAAAGTAAGAGGCATGATATTAGTACACGTGCAATGTCCTCCAGTTAGGATCTTTCATTCTGAGTGGCCAAAGGGAAATCAGAAACGTGTAGTATGACAGGGCTGGGGAAGAAGGGAAAATACCCTTGGGAAGGAAAGCTAAAATTTTGTATCTCTTTAATTCAAGTGATCTTTAAGCTTCATAGCTCTGGATTTATCGAGATAACAAGGGAGAGAGATAAAAAAATCTGCAAAGAAAAAAAATGCTAATATTGATAGTTAAGGAAGCAATGGGAACTGAACAAATGAAGGAAGAGGCAGAGAATTCATTTACACTTTATTATGTTTTTAGATGTTTGACCTATGTGAATATATTGGCTAATCAAATATTAAAAATATTAAATTAAAACTAACAAATAAAACTAACATCCTAAAATTTATATACTTTAACATCATGAGAACATGTGGGACCTTACTCCTAAAGCCTATCTAAGCTCAGTGTGTTAGACACGTTAAGCAGCTTAATTTTCACAGGTCTTCTCTCTGGTAGAGTGGGAGGAACTGTAAATTGATGCTCCAGGAGGGTGAGTCTCCTTTCTCTCCATTAAAACATCCATAGGTTGACCCTGAATTAGCTACATACATACGCACACACACACACACACACACACACACACACACACACACACACACACACACACACACACACACACACA